TTACCGATGCAAAACGCCTATTGAAGCCGGAGCACTTTCTGCTCCCAGCACTATTACGAGTGTCCCAGTTTGAACAGTCTAATAATACTTAGCAATAACTTCTTTGAAGCCAGAGAAGGGGTCAGGCTTTTGATGGCCCTAAAACATTTCCTAACTGGAGCCTAATTCTGCAGCCCTTTCTCACACTGAGTAGCACTTAGCTGTCCCAGTGACGCCAAGGTGACAGCTTGCACAGAATTGTTACTGCAGAGGCAGCGAAAGAAAATGTACAAATTAAATTTACACATAAAAATAAATGGGCAATGATCAAATACTTGAATCTTAAACATTACTCGGTTTGCATTTCAATCAATTCAAACAATACTCAGAATGCATTTCACATCATCAAACTGTCCTTTGCACAAGGGTCCAACAAGGTCCCACGAACATCTCACAAACATTAGAATTCCTGCTCTAGGAAGAAGGAAAATGAAGCACCTCCTCTTCCAAAGCAAATGGAGTTAGAGCAAGGGGGAAAGAAGCAATATCTCCTGGCTTCGGGACCAAGAGTCATCTTGTGAATCAGTGCAGACTGTGGAGAGCAGCTGAATGAAGAGCAGACTACATACCTAAAATAATAGAAAACAGGAGAGTGGCAGGTCATAAACATAAAGAAGTTTGCAACGAAGAAAAAGCCTCATTTTTCCCCCTCAACATCCTTACAGTATGTTTTTTTTCCTGCCAACTGTGATTCCAATACTGAACACTAAACCCTGGGTTCTGGTCTCCTGGTAATAAGTAATTTGCAAAAACCTGGTCACAGAGAGGTCAGAAAACCATGTAAATTGCTTGGATGGGAAAGCCTCTTTCACAGGAGGAAGCTGTAGGTGGTAGAGAGGCTCCCTGACACAATTTTGCATTCCCTGGACATAGTGATATAGAAAGAGACAAGAGAGCAATGCTGGTCTTCTCCCATCGGGCACCCTTTGGCTGCCCTCTGCAGCAGGGATAGATGCCAGACCTCCAGCAAACAGTGAGGGTGATTTCTATCCCTTGTAGCAACAACCTCAACACAACGTTTTAGCTAGTAGGCAAGCAAGTTTTTGATACAGGGTCTGAAGGCTGAAAATGTTATAGTGAGTTTTACTATATACCCAGAGACTTGACAAGGTTTCCTTCTGGGGAATTTACTGTGGTATTTGCATTTATGCAAAATTATGAATGCAGCCTTGTGATATAAAGAAAGCAGAAGCTAACAGAATGCGTTCTGGGAGCTCTTACTTTTTCAGATGGAGTTACTCTCATCCACATGCAGAACCAAGGTGATGGGTTCCTCTGGGATAGCTCATTAGAGAGAAAGGTCTAATTCACTGAGAAGAACCTCTCTCCTGCTTTTCAATTCTGATCTACCCAAGAGGACAAGGACTCCCTTCCCATAGGTCATCTCTCCTCTCCCATGCCACACCATACGCCTCCACCATTCACTCTGCAGACTCCCAGGGAAAAGGGCAGGGTCAACTTAATGGGAAATACTTCACAAAGGAGCTGATACTGCCACGATGCAAACAACCCACCACCAAGTTATTTATGCAGCTCCCTTCCACATGTCAAACAAGCATTTCACATTGAGCATATTGCAAAATGAGCACTCAGCTTTGCCAACTCCATTGTTCAGCTGCATCTCAAATCCTGCTTGTTTGGTTTGGAAACTATAGCAATCTTACTGAACGAGATTAAAATATTTTTACCTGCCAAGATACAAGTCCTGAATGTTCTACTATAGATCTCACTAAATACACAAGCCACAAAAGATTTCAGTCAGCATTATACATCATGTTACTATCCAAACACAAACGTTAGAATTAAATGTAGTTGTAGTGCAATAAACACCATCACATCTCCCTTCTGGGGACATTTTTCAACCAACCTTTGTGCTAAAATCAAAATGGCTGGCCTGTGTTATTTAATTAATATCAAGGCTCAAAGATCACCCTTTGGTTTTCTTTAATTTGAAAAAAGAAAAGCCTTTTTTCTGGATTAACACAAATATAAAACGGAAAGACTGTGGAACATAAAGGCCATGGGTTGTATTTTGCACAGGATAGGTTCTGGTTGAATGAGATCTGGGACGTGTGCCAAATTAATAGAAAAAATCCTGTTCTTCCTCTCCAATAGCCACAATGTTCATTATTAAGAAAAGCATATGAACCACAGGATTTGATTTTAATAACACCAATGTCTTCATTAATCTGTACTTTCCATTTAGCCTCATTATTGAGTAAATGCTGAGTTAATGCAGCACCTATTATTGTTGGATTTTCCATGAAAAACCTCCTTTCCCTCTTCTTTTTTTTATTAATTCAAGGACTATCAGGTGTGTGTGTCATGTTTTTAAACAGGCCATCCGCTGTCAATGGCTGTTTTCTTACCTCAGGTCTATGCAGCTACTCCAGTAACGCACGCTTTACAATGCAGACAGCAACAAAAAAACCCACCAAACCACCACCAAGAGAACAAAACCCCAGTAAAACCACTCCTAGCTCAAAACCATATTTGTTTTGGTGTTGTTTTAAATGCTGTCATGTCAAGGAGCCTCTCACTATCACCTGCAACTGAGCTGATCTTTCCTGGATGCTCCATGCGGCCTCCTTCTAAATCAAGATTGCTGATGGCCAACACCGCTTTGTATCTGCCGAACAAATAGTGGCCTTTTGTCCAGCACAAGTTCCTAAACAAACTTAATCTCTCTAACACTGTGACAGATGACATTTAGATGTCCTTGTTACCCTTAAAATGAGTTTTATTGACAATCAGAGAACAAAAAGAAGGCCCAGATAAAGCCCAATGTTTTATAGGCCTGCTAACAACATCTTAGTTCTTAGTGCAGAGGGTGTAGAGAAAGCCCGGAGTTGCCCCCATTTTCCCCTGCTTTGCTATATCACCATGACAACAGATATAGAAATCACTTAGTGACTCCTAGAAAGAAAACACAGTGACACAGTACCCCTTGTATGGCGAATCAAACTAAAGCCTTCATTCAAATGGCTATTCAGCTTGGGCATTCATGTAGAGGATGGGGTGGATTTTACACAGGTAACAACAACAGAAAGGCCAGCAAGCACTCCAGCCACAGCATATGGTAAAGTCTCTGTTTAATTAATGCATCCTCAATAGAATTTATCCATTTTAAATTTGTTTTCTTTTACTTGAAACATCATTAATGTAAAGGGCAACATTAATCAACATCTTGCAACTTAAAAGGGCATTAAAAAGTGATCTTTCCCCCCTCCTCCCCACGCAACAGAATCTTTTCAAGTACTTTTGCTCGCTGCAACTGATTCCAGGCAGTCAGAGTCCTTAATCATAAGGCAAATCTAGAGAGGCCTCTACTGGCCAGCCTCTCCATCTGCAATTTTTCTATTTTTAAGTGACTGGGAAAAGCAAGCAGTGAAGTCACTACAAGCTTTTATCTTAAAGTTGCACACAGAACGGATTACTGATAAATATATGGCGCAAACATAGGATAATTGTGCTTTTTTGAAGCAATCATGTGTGGTATAACTTTGCTTTTTTAAAAAAAAAAAGTAAGAAGACTAGAAAGATTTATCCTGGCTGTGATGTATTTGCCTCCATGACATTTTGAGACATTTTAAGATTATAGGTCTAAAAATTAACGGGTAATCATATTTCTTTGTGCACAGGGCTCCCCTTAAAGTTAAGGCTTAAATCCATTTAAATTTGAAATTCTTGTATGCATGTGGTATTTTATATATGCATTTCTCACAACTAGAGTAAAACATACATCAAAGCTCAGAGAAATTAAATCAAGAGCATGAGAAAAGGAAGTTATTGAATGATAGAGGAACCCTGCTTCTCTGGGCTTTCCACAGTGACAACACAAAGACAAAGAACTTCAAAATCCCCTATCTAGGTAAAATTTAACATTGTAAGGCAATGGTCAGTGTGCTCTGTGCTAAAATCAGCAATTTTGGCTGGAAAACAGAGTTTCTGCCATATCCTTTAAATAAAAATATGAAGCATAAATTTGAAGATTCTTAAAACTAAATTGACTTTCTTTAATTCCTTTTATTCTAGTTATCAACCACAAACCACGGGAATAAGAAATATCTACCAGGCAGAAAATATGACTTGCTAGATCTTAACTTACTGCTGCATAGATAGGAAACTTCTTAACACCAAAATTCATGGAAAATGGGCAAACTGACAGATCTAGTGAAACAAATCCCCAGGCTGAAGGCTGAAAGAAGATACTGATACCAGAAATAAAGTGCAAAATGTTGATGGTGAATATAATTAACCATGGAAGCAACTTACCTCAGGCTGTGGTAGGCTGCTCAAAAACCTAAGCCTAACTTATCAAGATTTTTTTTTCCTGTGTAGAATACACATCATAGTAACTCCTAATTTAAATTTAATACTTTTTTTTTTTTTTTAAGTCTGCAGTCTCTAGTAAGTTCACAGGAAGTCACACAGATTATTTTCACTATAGTTATGGTTAGAAAACTTTTAATCCTTGAAAGACCTATAAATGTACTTTTTTTTTCTTTAATAGAAAAGCACTTAGTAAATATAAAATCTCTTAAGACAGTCTTATTTAGTAAAATCGTACATTTACGCAATATATCTCACATCACATAAATTCATCTCTCCTTCACCTCAACAAGTATTTACATGAAAAAAAAAAGTTATGACAATGTTTCCCTGACTCAGTATAACTTACAAGCACTGCAAGAACAGGAAGAAACGTTTTTTAACAAGCCTGGATTAGCTTGCCTTTCTTAAGGTACCCAGCACTCAATGCCTTTGTAAAAAAATTTTATTTGCCCATACCTCCACATAATTTTACCTGTGATTACCTTTCCCCAGCAGGGCTGGGGGCAGGGAAGGAGATGTAATACAGGTCAATTCCTACCTCATGGTCAATGTAGCCTTTAAAAAATAAACAGCAGCTCTGGAGCTCACCCTGCTAGTCCCAACAGTGACACCTCCTGGGGCAAGCGGGCTCCAGACAGCTGCGAGATTTTCTCCGCTTTGAAGTACAGTGAGAGCTCCACTCTGCAAAGCTGCACCAGTTCCAGGCTGGGAGTTTCTTTGAAGAAACTTTTTCGGGACTGAAGCACTGCAGGGAGGAAAATGAACAATCCTGTTTAATTACATCAGTTTAGTGAGGAAAGCACAGGAGCCAGCGGCCATGTGGACGGACAATATGACACAGTAATATTGTCCTTCAGGTATTTAATTAAAAAAGGGGATTCAGTTTTGGAAGTGGTGTTCCAGAAACAGTTTAGGGGTATGTCCAACAACTGTGCCCACAGTGCATGGCTGACACAGGACACTGTGGCTTTCTTGCTTTTAGCATTTTTTTGGTTTGGTTTTATTTTAGCGTGGGGTTTTGTTTGGTTGGTTTTGGTGTTTTGTTGTTTCCCCGTGTAGTAAAAACTCACCTATGCGGAGAAGCTGGGAGCACTTAAAACGACAATTTCCTCCAGACTCACACCATTTCATATCAGATTTTTAAAAACTATGGGTGAAAGAGCTCATGATCTACAGGTCCAGTCCTGCAAACCCCAGGTAACAGGCACACATCTTCAAAAAGCCAGGAACCAGAAAGGACTGGTCATCAGAAACAGATTTTGAAACAAGCCACAGTGTCCTGAAAGGTAATTGACAAAAATGGATTGGAGTAAAAACATATTCTAAATATGCCTAGATTTAGAAGAGCCTTTCCTGGTCATTTGTCGTGTGTTTTACTTAAAACTGAAGCAAATACCTGCAAATTAAAAATAAGACCATCTCTTTGCAAGAGGAGCAATTTCTTCCTTTAGATTCTTACAGAACTAATGGCGAATAAAAATATTACCAATCAGTTCACAATGGCCAAGAAATCCACAGTGACCTTTGATGTCAGCCTAGTAAAAAGAAATTTTAAGAATCATACATTTTAAGGAATATAGACTGTCAACATTTCATAGAGGAATCTCTGGCATGTGGTAATTTCCTGACAGAGATAGAATTACACAGATATGGTGACATCAAAGTGTAAAAGAGCTCACACAAATTGATTGAGAGGGTTTTTGTTTCCTTATTGCTACTGAGTTCATTATTTCTATTTAAAAATCCAAACAAACAGCTTATGCACAGCCAATTAACAATAACTATTTTCAGTCTATGAATTTCCAGGAAATGATTTCATGGACAAAATTAATCTCAAAACGATACACAATTCCAGTCAAATGTAACAAGTGATCTCACAGCTTTCTGGTAACTAGCACACTAGAAAGTGCAGAGACCACTCAGGAAAAAAAATAATCTGCTAGAGATCTGTTTTTGCAGGCGAAGTTACAATAGAATTTTCTGTATTTGTATTGGAATCATTTGACAAATATGCAATTTACTGATTATAATGAAAAATCCAGAATTAATAAACTGGAAGTTAGAAAGCCACAAAGGAGAAGTTAATCACTACTCAAGAAATATATTTTTTTCAATTCAGCTGCAAATGAAGTAGAACAAACCAGGCAAATGAGGGAAACGGTACAAAAACATATATAATATTATTGCCTGATTTATTAAAAAGCCCAAGATTCTTTCTTATAAATCACTTTTGTAAATATAATTATTCCAATTTTGTTCAAGAAAATAATAAATATGTAAAAGAAATATTGTATATTAGCTGCATAGCAACATACATATCTAATAGATGGAATAACGTTTTAAAACATTTTAAGATAGTTGTATCTACATGATCAAGACAGAATATGCAGAACAACCTATAAATAGCTCACTTTTTATACTTTTTCCTATTTTAAAGCATGATTGAGTTACATGTAAGCTGGAGGGGGAAAAATTGCCGTTTCTCTCTGATGTACAGAACTCTTCATTTTTTTTATTCTTATAGTCATATTTGAGATACTGTATTTACTTTCTGATAGTGTGGTGCTGTTGATACAAGATAAACAGGGTACAATTAAAAAGAAAGAGTTTGCAAAAGACCACAGAATAGAATAGCAGAAATAAAGGACCCAGTAAAGAAAAAAAAATGAGGGGGGGGGAACAAGCTGGGACTAACACCTGGGCTTGTACCTAGCTGTGCATTTGTGACCAATATTACAGCTTAGGGAAGCCAAAAATTGCAAAACGGACCAAGTTTTCCCGAGCACCTGAAGTAGAAATTCCCCTAATGTCTACAACAGCTAGGAAACAGATTCCCTTTCTGCCTTAGAAGAGCCCATTTACCCATTTCACAGGGGATTTGCGTGGCGTAAAGCTCCCGAAAGCCCATGGGCTGACAGAGGGAACTGGCATCCAGCAGCACAGGGCAGCCCAGGCAGCCCATCAACAGCAAAGCCACAAAACAGAGCCAGAGGCAGCTCCGAGGCTGCCAACACAACTGCCTGCAAAAGCTGCCAACGAGCCAGAAACTGCTTGTGGGAAAATATCACTTACCCTTAGCATCTGGGTCCCGTGATTACTGTCCAAAGAAACACAGACTGGTAAGATAATGGCAGGATAAATAGCACTTCGTTTCTATTTCTTCCCCCTTTACTCCCACAGATTTTTGATACGCCACCCCACCACCCCCACCACTTTTGTACAGAGTTTTAAAAATTTATGTGCTTTTTAATCTTTGTGTTACTCATGAAGTAAAATGAGTCTTCCTGTTTCATCTCTAAAAATAGCTTTCACACACTTCCCCTGGCTCTCGATGTATGAGACATAGTGGGGCTATTTGTTACCGTTATTGACATGTTTGTGGTGAACTGCAAGCGTGTTTACAGAAGAAATGAAGTCCCTGCTCTCTTGGAGGTAATCCTGGGGTGTCTAAAAGACTCACGGGAGTCCTTGACATGGATTCTCTAAAATGAATTCCTGTTCCCATATAAATAAATTATCTTGGGGCCAAATATTTATATTTTCCTCCTATTTCAGGAAGGCAGCAGATGCAAAAGTTCCTGATGGTTCTAGCAATAATGCCCTGCACAAGCTCTCGGCTAGTGAGGGTAAGGAAGAACGAGAGAAAAAAAAAAAAAGGAAGAGAAGGACTTTGAGCTCACCACTTGCAGTGTAATAGAATGAGAAACGGGGCTTTTGCGACAAGCAAATAGGGCAAAGTGAGACTTGGCTCCCTGAGGTGATGGGTGTCAAAAATGCTAGGGAACCTAAAGGCCAGAGATGCCTTATGGCTAGTGAATTGGCCCTGACTTCCCCAAATTATGCCGAAGGTTGCCCAGAAAATTTTACAGTCATTAGCTTTTGGTTGGAATTGATAAATTCCCATTTTCATGTGGTAACTATTAACTGAGGGGGAAAAACAGTTTCTGTTAAAAATATAGAGCATTATCGTCTTACCAGTATAGGCTGCTTTTTCGTGCAGAAATTCACTAAAAGAAGTAAACTGTAACCAGAACTGGTTTGTACATTTGCACCATACCGAAACAGACCCAGACACTCGCTCGTTAAAACTGTCCAGTTATGTGTAACATATATGGGATTTTGCAACAGGCCAGGTGTTAAACAAAACATGAGGTGACATCATTCTGTGGACTGCGCTACAGAAAATACAATCTCCTGGTAGTTTACAGGAAAAAGACCCACACCACTTTTTGGTGAACTGCATACAAAATGATGGAAGAGTACGAGTTGTTATTCTCTATATTTTGAAATTGAGCAATTCTGTGTCTCTGTGTGCACAAATTAATGGTTATAAGCTGATGACCTCTACTAAATCTTTCATTAAAAATATTCTTTCTAGTAAGGAATAAGGAGCTTAGAGTAAAATAAACAAAATTTATAGGAATATCTGTGGGCTGCAGATATATTTAAGTGCATAACGAGCAAGAAAATATCCAGGGGAGACTAACCAATAACATAGGAGGAAACTGTAAACTGGAGTTCCTGTGTAATAAACAGAGCAATATGGATTCAGTGCCAAGCTGGTTTTTGTTTTTTAAATTCTCACAGACAGAAGGGTGTGTGATTCCAGCAATGGACTCTTTCGATTGATGGATTATTTGATCAAATCTTGCTATTCCTATGTGAACTAATGAATTCCAAAACCTATTCAAATTTATAGTGTTATTTATACCTTTGTTAAACAAATGGCAAACATTATTGCTGAACAGTTCTGCCTCCTCCTTATTCGTTGGACTAGGTCTATATTCAAAACCAAATGTACCTCCAGTGTGAGGCCGAGCTCTTAGAGGAAGGTGCTGTACATATAAATTGTATTAGCCAGCCTTCTACTTGGAAACGAGAGAAAAAGTAGATGGGAAAAATGCATTGCTTTCAGCAAGAAAAAGTACAGAAAACTAATGGAGGTACCTGCAATGTGCTACGTGATCTTCATTTTCAATCCTGTGGAAAGATGAGTACAGAAAACTGCATTTGATAGCTCTGAGTATGGTCAAAGAGAAACATGCCTTGGACAATATCACATGCATACCTAGAAATGCTGGCCTAACTCTGTTTCACATTAAGCAAAAAAGTTAATAGTTGTGTAAAGATGTATTAAAAGGTTATAGCTGAAGTCAGACTTTATATGCAGGCTTGCTATGTATTCTCTTGCAATATCATAGTGCTGTTTTCACAACAATTTTTTTAAAAAAGCAAAGGAGGTTATTTGTTCTGTTTAATAGGAAGTTGGTACACAGAACATTTTGCTCGCCTTTTCTGTCCATACTCTGCTTGTTTATTGCTTTTTTTCAGTTATTTTAGTGTCTTGAATATTTAGTGGCATACAGATCTCGCTTACATTCAACATTTTCATATTTCACTGTATTTTAATTACTACAAAACCTTATGCACAAGCCCCATCATAATATTATTTTCTTCTACTCCACTGAAAACCATGTACATTGTCTTGAACATGGTAATATTTTAAATCTTTAATATGGAATTGTTGGAGAAGGCACGCACTTTGAGCAGTTAGGTCCAATGTTCCAAATAAAACACAGCACCTGCATTTAAGGACAAAAAGAGGCATTGTAGCTTACTTATTTCAAAAGAATGCCAATGCCACTTCATCCTTCACAATCTTATAGTTCCTACATGACCAACAGAAAAATGTTGAAATTGTCACTAGTAAAGACATGGTCATTAGTGTTCATCTATTAAAAAAAAAAAAAAGATTATAATTGGTTTCCCTAAAATACATTGGTTTTGTTTCTATTGAAAGAAAGACACTTATGCTTTTATACAGTCAGGCATTTCTTTTCTCTTAAGACATCAGCTGAAACTACAGAGAACTAGTTAGCTGTACACACACTCTCCATGTTCATCCTGTATTCTTTGGAATAACTGCCCAAATTTTATTAGGATTTTCTTATAATGATGTTATATGATGTCCTTGTTGTGATACCTGCATATGTAGAGATCTTAATATTGATTTACTGTGTCTTTTGCCCATCCTTGAGCAGTGTAGATGGCAATTACAGCTGTTGGTGGTATCTATTTTGTCTTTTCATAATTGTCATTTCTGGTTCTACTTAAGATTAAAATATGAAAATTGCATCACATGCACATGAATAGGGCACCAGCTAAGTTATCATGGCAGCGTCATCATTTTAACCACCATCCTCTCCATCTTTATGAAAACTGCATACTGTAACATAAACTTTTGGAAGGAATGCATCATCACATGAGCTGCCCTGACAAGAAACCCTCAGTCAGATCATTAACATCTTCCCCCAAAAGATCACCAGGGACAGAGAAACACCTGTACAGCTGCACCAGATGTTTCTGAATAGTTTTGCTTGAGTTGCTGTCTGAGACTGATCAATTCAATGCCGATTCCTTTGCTAGATCTAAAATCACTTACAGGCTCCTTATTGTCAGGGCTTTGCTCAGCTGAGGTTGCAAAGGTGCAGTGGCACATGCACTATCTTAATTGCACAATGGATACTTAAAAAAGCAGTAAAAGTAAACACTAGGATGAATAGTAAGTGACTGCTCATGCTTCCCACTAATCAAAATAAAACATATTCCAGACATACACTTGGAAGAGAGGTAGGTAATTTATGCAAAGAAACAGCAGAAAATATTTTCACACTGCCCAAGCCTCTGTTTTTAGAGCAGTGATTTTCTTCAGCACTAGAAAAAGAAATCCTTGTGCAGGGTTGGCGGCTTGGTGTTGGTTTCTTTATGATCTGTTAATGTACAACACAGCTGAGATAGTGGAGAGCAAATATTACATGCAAGCATCAACGTTACCTACCAGTCCTCCCAAGCATGGTATTCTATCAATTGTCAATGAACTGAACCTTCTATTAAAAATGAAGTTGAACAAAGAAAAACAGTACAAGAATGTGTTTGGTTTTGTGCCTTTAAGTTTTTTTTTTAAACACACTCTGCCTTGTATTTTAAAAGATCTTTTGCACACATTTGGATACAGATGAGAACAATTAAATACCCTCTAATAATTAATGTGTATGCAATCTATAGCATGCATTCTCTTCTTATTAGAGGCTGTGGGTTTTTTGTTGCAATCTAGCTAATAAAGGCTTTCTTTTCCACAAGAGAATTTTGACAGGGTTGACTCCAGACGGCTTTCCAGCTGAGGTCTGGGGCCTTGCTGAACCTTCAAAATTTTCCCATTTGAGCTGCATCAAAGTGAAGGAAATTCAAGGATCACTAACGTCTCAGATGGTAGCACTTGCCCTAACAACCAAGGTTCAGGAATTCTTTGGAGCAGGCTGAGGTCATTTTTCTCCCCTTTTCTCCTAATGCTTTTCTCTATTAATCAGAGCTCACAGCTCAGATTGGTCTTCAACTTCCTCCCAATCCTTGCTAAGCCTGTCATTTCTAGCTATTATTTACTTTAATGGACTTTGGCTGATCCCTTATGAAGCTTTGGATCTGAGAATAATAAGGCTGGAGAGTAACGGGCACAGACATGGGTGTGGGTTTGCCTGCAGATTAACCGTGGCAGATGGGCTTTATTGCGGTTTCCTGTGTGCCGAGTGTTGATTGAGAGGGTATAATGAGAGAGGTGGTGTCTGCACAATGGCTGCAGCCACTTCATTGCACCTCGCGTCTAAACAACCCCATTTTTCTAAATCTTTGGGTTGTGAAATTTTAGGAAGTCAGAGCACAAGAACAAGTACAAAAACAACTGTAAATAACCATGAATGTTAATCCAACCCTAATTGGTCCCTTCTTTCATTATGGGTACATTTTGCTGAGCTTCCCCCCCCCTCCCCATTTCTTTTAACAAATGAATGATATCGACAGCTATGCATACATTTGACTTTTATATTATAAGAGTTTAACACAAATATTACTTCATATCAATGTATATGATTATTAATATTAATGTCCCATTAGTTCTTGCATTATTAAGATCAGCAGCAAAAGCTTACCTTGCAATCATCTTGTTATGCTTTAGGTTTTTGTCATCTCGGGGAAATTTGTTTGAATTAAATTATCTATTGTCTAGAGAATATCAAAAATAACAGCAGGAAAATTGCTTAGTATCTGGCAAAATGTGTCAA